CCGAATCTGGGTTTCCCAAACACAGTCCAAAGCTCTACCTATTGAGCTAACTAGATGGCCAACAATTACATTCTCAGAATAGTAAGGGTTTATATAACAATAAAATAAATGAGCTTTTTTAAAATGAATTACTAAAGCTTTTTGAGTAAGAAAAAAATTATACACATATCCTAGTATGTTGTTATTTTCAACTTGAAAAGCTGTGAATTGCCGAATCTATGTAAACTTCATATTAGAATTAGGTGAACTTAATTACAAGCTTGAAGATGATTCAAAAGAAAGTGGACAGTTCACAAAGTGAGGCAGCTCCATAGAACAATGGAACATGGTCTTACCTTGTTTTATGGCTCACAGAGATTTAATGGTGTTGTCATATGTCAGACGTTGAATATGTAACACTGGTCCAGAGTATACCAACTGTATAACCACACAACATAAAAGAAATCTTACTACTGTTTCATTTTGCTGTATGAAGTAAAAAGGAACATCAGTTTTGCAAGAAGCAAAAAAAGAAGCATTAAAAAAGCAAAGAGCAACATAAAAGATACATTGATATGATTTGTTATCAGATGGAAGTTATTATGATATGCAGGAAAATAGCCAAATAAAAGCCTTACGGAATGAATGATATCAAAGAGAAAGTACAGTTATATGCTGTTCCCTCTAGCCACATAAGTATCCAAATGTAAGCTCAGATAGAAAATTGACAGAGAAGAGGTCCCTATATGTCGGCGTTACTTTGTAGCATGCAACACAAAAAGCATAAACATATTTTCACATACAATATCAAACATTCATAGATCTTAAAAACACGAGATCCAAATAATACTTTTCAACAAAAAAATATACTAACAAAACTAACAAGATTCAAATTATCAGATCAAAAGAGTACATATAAAACATCAGATCAAAATGACATATGAGCCATGTCATGACAAAACCAACATAATGGGTTTGCTCAGCATGAATCCAGACCAGCCTGCGCATCCGCGCAGTCCGATCAGGATCCATGCTGTTCGCTTATAGACCATATAACAAGTAGAGAAACTGATAGCGAACAGCATGGATGCTGATCAGACTGCGCGGATGCGCAGGCTGGTCTGGATCCAGGCTGGTCCCAAACGCACTATGTTGGTTTTGTCGTGACACGGCTCATATATAAAAGTTCAAAATAATGATACAAATATAGTAAGATATGTAAGTGTACATATATAATGGCAAATCTTGTATGTGTAAAGTAACATTCATGGCACAAACGAACAATAAAAAAATTAGATATTGCATCAGTGGAAATATCATAAACACTGTGAAACCAGTGAAAACATGTAACAGGAATCATATATCAATAATTACAAAAACTCCATCTGGATATGAAAATATAATAGTAAAGTATATAAACATGTTACTGTGGATTTCACAACAAAATAAACAGCAAATAACTAAAACACATGGACAACTTGGTCAGTGTCAAAAAAAAATTCCTATATTAAACTATTCTACTTATGACTAATTACCTACAAGCATATTAACCTTTTTCGTGGATTTGTTTTCCTTTGAAAGTGCTGGAAAGGGGAGATCTTCTGCGAGCAACAAAAAACAAAATAAACAAGACCTGTTGGTAGGACAGCATGCTTGACTATTCTCAGTACTTGAATGTAAATAAAGATAAACTTTCTAAGTTCAGAAAGGGCCGTCATTCTGCCAAAATCCATATAAGAGTTATGTTTCTTCAATAGTGACCTCTTATTATGCTCTAAAACAAGTGTGTGAAGTTTCAACATATTTGCTGCATTAGTTTTGTAGATAACAATCTGCAAGCAAAAGCTTAAACAGTGTGACGCCATCGCTTGGGAGAGAACAATCTAAGCTCTCCCTATTCTTCTAATAGTCTTACTAAACAATAAAAACTGAAGACTGGGTTTGACTGGGTCTGTTCATGAGAGACAAATAAAAACAAGAGGGCCATGATGGCCCTAGATCGCTCACTTGACTTATCAAACTCATCCAAACAATTACCTAGACAAGCATTCTGACCAAATCTCATGACAGGTGAGTCAAAAATGTGACCACTACAGTGTTAACAAGGATTATCCATATTTGAGCAGTGCGACCTAGTTTTTTACCCAGGTGACACATATTCAAACTTGACCTAGAAATCATCAAAACAAACTTTCAGACCAATTTCCAGGATACTTGGATCAAAACAGTAGCAACTAGAGTGTTAACAAGATTTTTCTATTTTTAGCTCCGGTGACCTAGTTTCACATGTGATTTAGAACTCATCCAAGCAATTACCTAGACAAGCATCCTGACCAAGTTTGATGATAATTGAGTGGAAAATGTGACCACTAGAATGTAAACAAGGTTTTTCCATATTTGGGCGGTGTGACCTAGTTTTTCATCCAAGATGACCTATGTTCGATCTTGACTTAGAAATTATCAAAACAAACTTTCAGACCATTTAACAGAATATTTGGATCACAACAGTAGCCAACTAGAGTGTTAACAAGATTTTTCTATTTTTAGCTCCTGTGACCTAGTTTTTCATCCGAGATGACCCATGTTCGATTTATTCCAAGCAATGACCTAGACAAGTTTCGTGACCAAGTTTGATGATGATTGAGTCAAAATTGTGACCACTAGAGTGTTAACAAGGTTTTTCTATTTTTAGCTCCTGTGACCTAGTTTTTCATCCGAGATGACCCATGTTCGAACTCATCCGAGCTATCACCTAGACAAGCATCTTGATCAAGTTTGATGATGATTGATGCAAAAATGTGACCGCTAGAGTGTTAACAAGGTTTTTCTATTTTTAGCTCCGGTGACCTACTTTTTCATCCGAGATGACCCATGTTCAAACTCATCTGAGCTATCACCTAGACAAACATCCTGACCAAGTTTGATGATGATTGAGGCAAAATTGTGACCTCTCGAGTGTTAACATGGTTTTTCTATTTTTAGCTCCGGTGACCTAGTTTTTCATCCGAGATGACCCATGTTTGAACTCATCCGAGCTTTCACCTAGACAAGCATCTTGACCAAGTTTGATGATGACTGATGCAAAAATGTGACCGCTAGAGTGTTAACATGGTTTTTCTATTTTAAGCTCCGGTGACCTACTTTTTCATCCGAGATGACCCATGTTCGAACTCATCAAAGCTATCACCTAGACAAGCATTTTGACCAAGTTTGATGATGATTGATGCAAAAATGTGACCGCTAGAGTGTTAACAAGGTTTTTCTATTTTTAGCTCCGGTGACCTACTTTTTCATCCGAGATGACCCATGTTCGAACTCATCCCAGCTATCAACTAGATAAGCATCCTGACCAAGTTTGATGGTGATTGATGCAAAAATGTGATCGCTAGAGTGTTAACAAGGTTTTTCTATTTTTAGCTCCGGTGACCTACTTTTTCATCCGAGATGACCCATGTTCGAACTCATCCGAGCTATCACTTAGACAAGCATCTTGACCAAGTTTGATGATGATTGATGCAAAAATGTGACCGCTAGAGTGTTAGCAAGGTTTTTCTATTTTTAGCTCCGGTGACCTACTTTTTCATCCGAGATGACCCATGTTCGAACTCATCCGAGCTATCACCTAGACAAACATCCTGACCAAGTTTGATGATGATTGAGACAAAAATGCGACCGCTAGAGTGTTAACAACTAAATGTGAACGGACGACGGACGGACGACGGACAATCATCGATCTTAAAAGCTCACCCTGAGCATGCTCAGGTGAGCTAAAAAGCAACATCTCTCATGTCCCCAAGCACCTGCATTGGCAGTATTCAGGCAGCATTCAATCTTCAAAAAATGAAATAAAAATTTCTATACTTTTAACCCCTGTCAAATAGCATAATAAATACAAATGTACATAGATTTTAAACTCTTTTCTCATGTGATCTTGGCACTGATATGTTAATGGTATACATTTTAGCTTTTCAACCTTGACCTTTTGCCAATTGGCATAAGAAAGACATTAATTAATTGATAAGCTTCACCCTGTTTAAGTGACACTGTCTGGTATAAAAATGTTTAACATTTTAGTCTTTCAATCATGACCTCTATTTATTGGCATAAAATATACATACATTCAGCACTTTGACTCTATTTTAGTAACACAGGCATAACAATAGTATACATTTCAAACATGACCGTCAATTGGTATAACATACAAATATTCAGCACTTTGACCCTGTTTTAGTGACACTGGCATTAACACTGGTACATTTCCACCTTGACCTCTATCTATTGGTATATCATATACAAATATTCAGCACTTTGACCCTGTTTTAGTGACACTGGCATTAACACTGGTACATTTCCACCTTGACCTCTATCTATTGGTATATCATATACAAATATTCAGCACTTTGACCCTGTTTTAGTGACACTGGTAAAACAACAGTATACATTTCAATATTTCGGCCTTGAAGTTAATCTACTGGCATAAAAATGACATAGATTCATTGTGACATTGGCATAGAAATATATAGAGATCACCAATCAAAAAAGACAATTGTTTTCCATATGGTACTCACTCTATCACATAAATTTCATTAAATTTTCTTGGATCAGAAATCAAATATAAGCACCCCAAAAAGGCCCGGCAAATGTACACCCATATGCAAATTTGTTTGTGGAATCAATAATAATCGTTCAATTAGGAAACAAGACTAGGGAACAGACTTATTCATGAAACATATTTCATCTAAATTATTTCAATGAAGCGACAAGAAATTGTCAGAAAAGAAGATTTTATTCTAATTGTCAAGCTACTTAATTTTCTCCAATAATTCTTATTACATTTCAATAGGTATCCACAAAAAATCAAGAAATTCTTTATTCCAGCAAAAATATAATCAAATGTTATAAAAGAACTTGTTTCATTTGGGGTTTGAACTAAAGCCCTCATGTTGAAGTTGGTCATCTTAATGTACCTTAACTCATACTACAATATAAATACTCCTACTCCTTTGAATATATATATATATATATATATACTTAAATAAGCATTAATAATTACAGTATCTCCCTTTGATATAAACTAATATGAGTTTGAATGACTTAATTGTGACCTTAATCTAAGGAGGCCCAAACCTGCATTCTACACTATAATTAAGAAATCTGCTAAGAAGATTCAATTTTATTCAATTATTTCGAAAACATTGTAAATCCCAAACTCTTTTGGGTCTATAAGTAAAAACATGCAATAAGATCATAAAGTGTATAGCAAAATAAATATACATATTAAAATAAACTATCAACAAAATATAAAAGAATAGGAGGTCTTCTTTTCTTGTTGAGTATTAGTTCCTCCCTAAGACTCTAAATTCTGACCGTCTGTTTGCCTGGTTTCTAACTTGACTAGTATGTTGCCTTTTGGCCTAGATACTGGCAGCCATTTATGTTCAAGATCTTGTCCTGGTTCTAACGTAAACTTGAAATTTGTCATCAATTCTTTTATCACAGTCTATAGAATAGAAATAGATACATGTATTTCATTCTCAAATGTTAATATTGTTACACAACAAAATCTGTGAATAATTCCTGTTAATTTAATGTATTAAATCTTTATTATACAATGCAAAAATACATAAAAATAACCAGCATTTAAATAGCATGTTTATATGGCTTTAAAATGAGAAAAATATCCCTTAAAGGGACTCCACTGAGGTTTAAAAGCCTAAAAACATAACATTAGAATTTCTTACATAAATGAACTGGGGCGCTTTAAACAGAAATGTATGCAAAGATAGTTAAGAAATATACCTTAAAATAAATTGAAAATCGTAGTTTCATGCTTGTCTTAGCCTAATTTGAGTGAAAAGCGTTTAAATGCTTTTCATTTTGGGTAATTTCTTTACAATTTGAATAATTATTATGGAAAAACGAAGTGCGCGAATGATCTGAAAGTTTGCACAAAGATTAGTGGTCTACACCTACATCAAATGGTACATTTATCTGGGAAATAAATATTTTCAGTCCCATCATGTCAAAAAACCTCAGTGGAGTCCCTTTAAGGTGAATTTCAACTTTCTTTAAAACCTAGTGTCTAGTATACGTTATAAATAGATATCAAGCTTTGTTTCATAAGACTTAATAATTCTACATTATTCTCATTTCTTTATCTAGTTGCTGCTGTTATGTAATGAGTAATACACCAGAAGGAAAGACTCCAGGTGCTATGATTCAAATAGCTTGTACTCCAGGGGCTAAGGCTCCATGCTAAGACTCTAAAACCTAAGACCCTACATGTTAAAACTGTACATGCTAAGACTCCAGGTACCCAGAAACCAGATACTAAGACTATGTGCTAAGATTTCTGGTGTTTAAACTCCAGGTGCTGAGACTTTAGAAGTGAAGACTCTATGTGCTGAAACTCCAGTAGCTAAAACTGCAGGTGCACTTATATGTACAGTTGACTCTCGGTAACTCGAAATCCAAGGGACTGGGCATTTTACTTCCAGAAAAACGGAATTCGAGTAACGTGGATCTGCGCCATTACCTTGACATTCGTACATGTATATACATTTATTTCAACAATTTATCTAATATTTGGAGTGAAATGATCATCAGACGAAAACAAAAGTAGCAACTATCGTGAACCAGAAGTACATATTAATGTATGCAATATGATGGAACATTAATTATACAAATGTCATTTACGTTGATAACACACATGAAACTAATTAAAGCCACTTTTATGACGTGTTAATAATACATGATGACCAACAATTAAAATTACCGTGAAACATGTGAATCACGGTTGGCAACATCTCACCTTGATGTCTCCGACCTTTGATCAGTCGGCTGTTTTCACACTTCGACTAATAGAGATGAAAATATGTTTGACTTTAATTGACGGGACCAAATTTTCTTTTCGACTAAACAGGAGTCTCGGTAAGTCAAAATTTGACCTAAGCGGAGTTAAAATACAAAGATAAAGAAGGAAATTTGAAGGGAAATTCTTCGACTAACACGGAATTTGGAGTATTTTGACTTATTGAGAGTTAACTGTATATACATGTATCACAATGCATAAGTTACTGTGCACCCACATGAAATTACATTTCATTTTTTAGGCTAGCTGAATAGCTTCTTCACATGGAAAAATAAGCAAGTAGGGTAGTAGGTGGTAGTAACAAATAGTGGACTCGTGCTTCAAACTCTAAAATTAAAAACAACATAATATCTCTTCAAGGTGCAAAAGTGTCCCTATACAAAGAACAAAACCAACCTTGATTAAAGTCCAAACTAATTTCTGACCTAGGCAGCTTCTTGGACCAGAACCAAAACAAAACAATTTATCACGATCATTTTTATTCCTGTAACATACAAACAAAATCAATGAAATGTTTTGTATTATATATAAACTATACGAAGAGAAATATGTAAATATGTTATTAAATATCAAAATGAATGACATTCTTTTACTATTAACATTCTTTAAACAAACAGGAAAAGTGTTCTGAACATCATGGTTTCACATAGCAAATATGCCATACAATTCTACATTATTACTCCCAATGGCATTACTGCACGAGCATTTTGTGAAAAATGGCTGTTTTCATTGAAAAGCCTCCTGTTACAAGTTCAAATTACTATTCTAACACGACCTGCGTTTTTCCCTATTGAACACAGAAGAACCGAAAGTGTGTGTTTTTATGCTATAAAGTCACTGTTTGACGTTCTATATTTAGACATGTGACGTAATCATTATACACGTGACGAACCCACTAAAAACGTGATGTGTTGACAATAAGTACGGAAACTAAATCGGGCGCAATTTAACTTTATATCGGGTACGGCAGCATTTATTTGTTAATGTCATGTTAGAATCAAAATAATATATCCAAATCCGTGATTTTATTGCTTGATAAAATGGCACAAATGTTGACTGGACCATAGCCTTTGAAACAGCATAGTCAATCTTAAATTTCCTGTTACCATGGCAACAATGGGACATCTCAAAATTGCCAAAAATTACTTCTTTTGCATTGATTTTTTCATCAAAACTGATTTCAAAGTTCTTCAAATTCTCAACTGATTGAGATAGAGTCAAGGGCTTTTCAGCATAAGTTACATGTTACCTTAAAGTCTCACAAGCCCAAAATTTTCTTTTTTATTAGGACAGTAAAGATAGTTTCATTGTAACAAATTTTGTACAGTATCTTTAAACAGTAACCAAGGTAACATGGGTTCACTATCTTGCGGTTTCTGATATGCATGAAATAACAAGAAATAAAACCTTTTAAAACCTAATATTCACATTGGTCGAGTATACATACATGTAGAAATTATCAGAATCTAAAGCATTATATTCAATGATTTTAATCGGCAAACAGAATTTCTTTCATGGATGGAGAAGCACAGACCTGTACTAGCCTAACCTTACATTCTTCTGGAAAAGCGCACCATGGAAACCACATCAATTACAGGTGGCAATCATCAAACAAGTGCACACAGTGATACATATTAGCCGGAAATTTCATCTGGCATGGGGGTGCCAGATGAGTCGCTTGACATACAACAATGTCATTTTAGCGCATTTTATGAATGAACCAAGTAAATAATGTCATTTTGGTGCACTTTAGAAAGGAATAATGGATATGGATGAAATCGATTTGCTGTTGTTATTAAAGTTGTAAATTCATACGCTATTGTAAGACAAGAGAGCCATGATGGTCCTGAGGTCGCTCACCTGTATATAGGCCCCCCCAACATCCCCCCCCCAACCTTGCAGGTCCAATTTAACCCAAGGGCTTTTATTTGCACAAACTTGGTAGACACCCATAAGAAGATGTTTCATGCTTAACATCTAAAGCTCTAGCTCATTTGGGCTTTTTAAAAGAAGATTTTTTTTAGTTTTTACTATACACATATAGTTAAAAACAATGACACTCCTGGGGCCGGGCCAGTTTTGACCCCAGGGCTTTTATTTGAACAAACTTTGCAGACACTTACTAGAAGATGTTTCATGCTTAATATCTAAACTCTAGCTATTTGGGTTTTTTCAAAGAAGATTTTAAGTTTTTGCTATACACATATAAAGAAAATCAATGAACCCCGGGGCGTGGCCAATTTTGACCCCAGGTCTCTTATTTGAACAAACTTTGTAGACACTCACTAAAAGATGTTTCATGCTTAATATCTTAACTCTTGCTATTTGGGTTTTTTCAAAGAAGATTTTTTGAAGTTTTTGCTATACACATATAAGGAAAATCAATGACCCCCGGGGCGGTGCCAATTTTAACCCCAGGGCTTTTATTTGAACAAACTTGGTAGACACCTATTAGAACATGATTGATGCTAAATATCTTAGCCATAGCTCTTTGAGTTCTTTAAAGAAGATTTTTTAAGTTTTTTACTATATGCATATAGGGAAAATCAATGACCCCCCGGGGCGGGGCCAATTTTGACCCCAGGGCTTTTATTTGAACAAACTTGGTAGACACCCATTAGAACATGTTTCATGCTAAATATCATAGCTCTAGCTCTTTGGGTTCTTTAAAAGAAGATTTTTTAAGTTTTTACTATATGCATATAGAGAAAATCAATGACCCCCTGGGGCGGGGCCAATTTTGACCCCAGGGCTTTTATTTGAACAAACTTGGTAGACACTCACTAGAAGATGTTTCATGCCAAATATCTAAGCTCTAGCTCTTTGGGTTTTTTAAAAGAAGATATTTAAAGTTTTTTCTTTTGGTTGCCATGGCAACCAAAGTTCTGCATGGAATTAAATTCTTTGAACAATTTTTAAAGGTGACCACCAAAGGAACATTCCTGTGAAGTTTGGATGAAATTGGCTTAGTGGTTTATGAGGAGATGTCATTTGAAGCAAAAGTTTACAGAAGGACGACGGACGGACGTTCTCACAGGACAGTAATTATGTGGCTACTCTAGTGTTCTCTCTATTGTTCTTTTTAGCCACACAAAAGAAAATAGCCACATAAAAGCATTACGGAATGAATGACATCAAAGAGAAAGAACAGTTACCTATTGTCCCTCTAGCCACATAATTACTCTCCTGCGAGTGCGGACGGACGGATGGACGCCGGACGGACGCCGGACGAAAAGCGATCACAAAAGCTCACGATGTCACTTTGTGACAGGTGAGCTAAAAACAGATATGGATGAAATGACATTAATATCCATTAACAAATATCTTACTGAGGTAAACTAATTTAAATATGAAATAATATGGCAGAATATGCAAGAAAACATATCTGACATATGTCTGCGGTAAGGATTGGATAATCTGTTCCTTGAGTATCCACCCATGGGTAGTAACTAGGCTTGTGGGGTACCCTCATGACGGATATTCTGATTTGAACCGTAACATATGACAGATATTATTAAGCTCATATAAACAGACTTTTTACATTATAAAGAGGGCACTTACTTGCCATGCCATCTACCTGGCTTGAATTCATCAGGATTATCAAACACTGTAGGATCTCTTTGAGCGAGGTAGGTTAGATAGAGTATTGCATGACCAGCAGGCATCTTGTAACCTCCAGCTGTAAACTCCTGTATATATAAAGTGGCATTATGCTCATTCTTTCATTGTCATGTTGAGGTGAATTGACTTTATATTTCAAAAGTATAACTGTAATAATGGTGATTGACCAATAGAGGATACTAGAAAGTGTTAAGCCTAAAATATAAAAAGTCCACTCTTTTTATAAATCAAATGTACAGGCAAATGCCGATATATATTACAAAAAATTCATACTTGAACCTTGTGTGCAAACTGAATTATAAATTCAAAGGTATTATTGCAAAACTTATTTTTACCTTTACCTCTCCACTCACTATATACCCTTTGATTGGCATAATGTCACTTTAAACTTTTAATACATTAAATAGAAACGCAATAACTTTCAGCAAAATGAACAATGTTTCTTTTTAAAGGCGTTTTGGGGTGAAGATATAATGTATAACAAAGGCCATAAGGAAAATGTTATCAATTTCAGGGGTGGATAACTCAAATAGTAGGATGGTCACCACTCACTGTAATTGTTTTCTTATCAATTTCGACAAAAGTTTGCTTTGTTGGAAAAAATGCTTTAGATGAATTTATCATTGCCTAATACTATTACCAACAAACAATAAGATATAAGGTATTGAAAAACAAAGTGACAAGTCACTTCTGATGAGGGTTCAAACACCGGACCAGCAAGAACACAGATATGCTGATCCATATGATTTAAAAATCGCAGGCATGTATAAATAAACCTAACTAAAAACAAGATAGATAACTGTATAACATTGACTGAACCCGAGCTATAACCCTCCTGCCACCAATAAAAGGTGGGTAGCTAAAAATAAGACTAAGATAGGCGTATAATAGTGACTTTGACTGACCTGAGCTATAACCCTCCTGCCACCAATAAAAGGTGGGTATAATCTTAGTACCTCCAATACAACACTTTCTATCAAATCTTCATTCTCTAGCATATCATTTTGTAAATCATTCTGGAATAAAAAAAACAAACAGCAAACATAACAAGATTCGTCGGAGGACAGTAAGGCTCGACTATTCGAAAAATTTGTCACAAGGGTGTTCCATTGAGTATAATGATGCTTACCTTTATGAATCCATAAAATTGTCCGAAAAGGTACAATTTGGCTTGTTATTAAGATGTTTTATCAAGTAAATCACTGCTTGATTATTATGAATGCATAAAATTGTCACAAAAAAGGCACTGTAAACCTTTCAGTAGTTATGGAGATAACAGCTTACAAGCAAAAACTTAACCAAGAATTTCTAAGTCGAATAAGGGGCATAATTATGCAAAAAGACCACAGAGTTATGGGACTTGTGCCAATCATGTTAACAGAAGAAGTGTGTGAAGATTCAATCCATTCCGTTCAGTAGTTATGGAGATACTAGCTTACACGCAAAAACTTAACCACAGGGACGCCAACATTTAGGGGTGACTGCATTAGCTTGTTAACTCTGTGAATAGTCCTAAAAATGTCTGTACATAAAAAAATCACATGTAAAATTCATTGCAGGATCCTTGGTTTTATCAGAAAAAAATTTGCAGCTAATGTAAATGTGTTAACATCAAGGAAACCTTAATCTTAAAGTGTATAAAGTTATAAATCTGTTGCCAGTAGTTAGCAAACTTATTGTTTGAATTTGAAAAGATTGATTCTAAAATATATTACATACATGTATATGAAAAAAATATGTCTAAGTGAATCTTGTATGCACAAAATCATTTTAACAGTTAAAACTTTACTGATAACAGCTGCATTATTTTGTTTGCAAACATTTTATTCTGTCTACATATAATATTCATGTGTAATGAATAACATAGACATTCTACATATATGTTATAACTCTCTCAAGGACCTACCATAAGGATATGGAAACAACATAATTTTACTGTTTATAATTTTTAAGGAAATATTTCATTAGATATGGTTTTATAATCATCAATGCAGGCATCACACTGTCTCGAAATTGACATCAAATTGGATATTCGAATATGGAATTATAAATTTCGCGCCAAGATGGCCCCAAAATTGGTTGACAGCCAATCAACAGCCAAAGCAAGTATGATTCCTACATAAGGTCACTCGATTGTATCCGATCCACACATGAATCATACAAAAGATTACGCTATGGCAACCAATCTACACACAAAGTCACCTCAAAGATGCAAATTTTAACAAGTAGTTTCCCGGCAGGACAGGCGAAAGCCATGCGATAGGTACACAACATAGTGTTTTGAGTATGATGCATTCAAAAGTGGTCATGAAGGTGTCATGTGACCTCCAGTGGTATAAAACCTTAAACCATGGCAAAATACAGTTGGGAGTACAATTATATTCAAACTTTATTTCAAATTTGATTGAACTTTTTCATGCCTTCCAAGGTGGGCCTGTAAGAGTTGCTCATTATGTTTTCTAAGGTGGATCAAAAGAAGCAATGATGCTGCCATCTTTTTCTTTGTTGACTCATAATCAAAGTATGCCATTCTGCAGGAAATGAACTGAAAATGATTGTTAATTAATTGCAAATAATGGAAGCTTTTAAATTTCTGTAGAGATGTGCAGGACAGACAGATGTAGAAGATCGTCTGAGGCTAGCCTTTTATATTCCACCATGATACATATGCAATGCTTGAGCCACTCACATTTGCTTTCTTCCTCCACATCCTGGTCCCATCTTGATGTCATCATACCAAAATACAATGGTGGCACACACCAAAATACAACGGTGACACGACAATATTGCGGGGGCTTTACGTAGTGAAGTTGCCTTCCTGAGACAATTGGGCATCTTTTGTTTCCTTTGTATTGTCACCTTGAGACGATAAATACCAGATGGCACTGATGATTACATGAAGTATAAACGAAGACTACACAATCTGACAAGATGGCTTCAAAACAGCCTTACGAACCGCAAGATTGGCATACGGATTCAACACTGAATTGAACCTTCGCAATGTCTTTTGGCAATTTTTTGGCATGCCAAATATTTTGCGACTCATGAAGTTTGCTGCTGGAGCCTGAAAATTGTAGCTGGGGGTCATTTGATGGCACAAGATGCCCTCATGAATGGCCGGGCCCGGTGGCCCCCATGTTATTACAATCAGATTGGAATTCGAACATTTCCTTTATTCGTGTGTCCATCTTGATGCCAATTTTCAGGACAGTGTGACACCTGCATAAAGGTCAAACACAGCCATATTCAGATTGATTAAATCAACTGTAGTAGTAAGTTATGTTAAGATACATTTATGCCCATAGCATCAGTTTTCAAGGGGAATTCATTGTAAGATACAGCTAATGTCATAACCCAAAATTTAAAAAAAAAAAAAACAAGAGGGCCATGATGGCCCTGAGGTCGCTCACCTGTATAGTGGCCCCCGCAGCGGGGCCAGTTTAAAGCCTAGGGCTTTTATTTTGAACAAACTTGGAAAACACCTATTTAGAAGATGTTTCATGTTGTTTAGTTTTTTACTACACACATATAATGAAACAATGAGGGCCATGATGGCCCTGAGGTCGCTCACCTGTATAGTGGCCCCCCCCCGCAGCCGGCGGGCCAGTTTAAAGCCTAGGGCTTTTTATTTTTGAAAAAACTTGGAAAACCACCTATTAGAAGATGTTTTATGTTGTTTTAGTTTTTTTTACTACACACATATAATGAAAACAAGGAGGGCCATGGATGGCCCTTTGAAGTCGCTCACCTGTATATAGGCCCCTGGAGCGGGGCCAGTTTTAAACCCCGGGCTTTTATTTGAACTAACCTTGGTAGACACCCATTAGAAGATATTTCATGCTTAAACATCCAAGGTCTAGCTGGTCAAGTTTTTTTTCTTTACACATAAAGTTAAAAACAATGACACACCTGGGGCAGGCGCCAGTTTTTGACCCAAGGGCTTTTATTTGAACAATCTTTGTAGACACTTACTAGAAAATGTTTCATGCTTAATATCTAAACTCTAGCTATTAGGGTTTTTTCAAAGGAGACTTTTAATTTTTTTTGCTATACACACATATAAGGAAAATCATGTCAGCCTCGGGGCGGGGCCAATTTTGACCCTGGGCTTTTTATTTGAACAAACTTTGTAGACACTTACTAGAAGATTTCTTCGTGCTTAATATCTAAACTCTAGCTATTTGAGTTTTTTTCAAGAAGATTTTTTTTAAAGTTTTTGTATAACACATATAGGAAAAGGAATGACCCCCAAGGGGCCAATCTTTAACCCCAGGGCTTTTATTTGAACAAACTTGGTAGACAATCACTAGAAGATGTTTCATGCTTAGTATCTAAACTCTAGCTATTTGGTTTTTTTTCAAAGAAGATTTTTTAAGTTTTTTTCTATACACATATAAGGAAAATCAATGACCCCCGGGGCGCGGGGCAATTTTGACCCCAGGGCTCTTATTTGATACAAACTTGGTAGACTACATTTAGAACATTTTTCATGGCATAAATATCTTAGCTCTAGCTATTGGGTTCTTTAACAGAAGATTTTTTAAGTTTTTACTATATGCATATAGGGAAAATCAATGAACCCCGTGGGGCAGGGCCAATTTTTGACCCCAGGGCTTTTATTTTGAAACAACTTGGTAGACACCCATAAGAAGATGTTTCATTGGTAAATATCTTAGCTCTAGCTCTTTAGGTTCTTTTAAAAGAAATTTTTTTAAAGTTTTTTTACTATATGCCTATAGGTAAAATCAAAATACCCCCTGGGGCGGGGCCAATTTTGACCCCAGGGCTTTTATTTGAACCAAACTTGTAGACATCCATTAGAACATTTTTTATGCCAAATATCTTAGCTCTAGCACTTTGGGTTCTTTTAACAGAAGATTTTTTAAGTTTTTACTATATGCATATAGGGAAAATCAATGACCCCTGGGGCAGGGCCAATTTTGACCCCAGGGCTTTTATTTGAACAAACCTTGGTTAGACACCATAAGAAGATGTTTCATGGTAAATATCTTAGCTCTAGCTCTTTAGGTTCTTTAAAAGAAATTTTTTTTAAAGTTTTTACTATATGCCCTATAGGTAAAATCAAATACCCCCTGGGGGCGGGGCCAATTTTGAACCCCAGGCTTTTATTTTTGAACAAACTTGGTAGACATCCATTAGAAACATGTTTCATGCCAAATATCTTAAGCTCATAGCACTTTGGGTTCTTTAAAAGAAGATTTTTTAAGTTTTTACTATATGCATATAGGGAAAATCAATGACCCCCTGGGCGCAGGGCCAATTTTGACCCCAGGGCTTTTATTTGAACAAACTTGGTAGACAACCATAAGAAAGATATTTCATGCTAAATATCTTAGCTCTAGCTCTTTGGATTCTTTAAAAAGAATTTTTTTTTTTAAGTTTATACTATATGCATATAGGGAAAATCAATGACCCCCTGGGGCGGGGCCAATTTTGATTCCCAGGCTTTTCTTTGAACAAACTTGGTAGACACTTTACTAGAAGATGTTTCATGCCAAATATCTAAGCTCTAGCTCTTTGGGTTTTTTAAAAAGAAGATGTTTAAATGTTTTTCTTTTGGTTTCAATGGCAACCAGAGTTCTGCATGGAAATAAATTCTTTGAACAATTTTTAAAGTGACCAACCAAAGGAACATTCCTGTGAAGTTTTGGATGAAATAGGCTTAGTAATTTATGAGGAGATGTCATTTAAAAGTAAAAGTTTACGGACTGACTGACGCCGGACGCCGGACGAAAAGCGGATCACAAAAGCTCACCCTGTCACTTTGTGACAAGGTGAGCTAAAAATGTAAAGAATCCTTTTTTGGATCCTATTATTAAGGACGTTTTCAGGGAGTTTTCATTAAGACATATAGGCAAAATTAAAACTGTTTCATAGAATTTCTTTAAAACTTGGCATATTATTTAGAATGTGATAACAGAAACATTTTAAACGAAAAAAAAAAATGGGGTCACTGTCCTCATTTTCGAGTTGTCAGCTTATTCCACAATGAAGGGAACAATACAATTTTTTTTTCATTATTCTCATGAAAGCTTACCTTCGTTTTAGTCGTATGCAAAAATTTCAGGAACAAATTTTAAATACTATGATTCCCCAATGGACTAAATTAATAAAGTATTGTATGTGTTACATGAATATTAATATGTTTGTCTATTATTCTTATTTTTATTCAACACTGTCTAATAGACATCTGTATCATATTGATCCATTTTAATTCATGTATCAGCTTTTATTTTCAAAACATAATATTTGTTTTTACATGTTTGCTGCTGAATGCCATAACGTTTTTTGCGTGTTTAACGCTCGTGTTCCATTATGACGTTGATTCCGGTAATTTAATTATGTTTTGCACTTATGAACATTTTCTTAAAAGAATTTCAACAACATACCTTTTCCACGCACGGCTTGTGACCAACTTCTATTACAAAAGATGTGAGTATTGAAGACAGGCCTTTTGAACAAGGGCTGAGGTAAACAACAGTAAAATGATTGTTTGACTAGAATTCCCTCGAGGTCAGGTAAAAGCCTCTACTTTTCTGAGGGAAACTGTTGGCACTTCTCCTCCCGTCTTTTTTGTATAATATCCAGCAGTTTCTCTGTTGTAGTTGAAAAAAACAAAACTTTACATTTCAGATGACACTTATACAAACTTTGCAAAAGTACAGGAAAATGTGCTCGACATACATGTATGGTCAATTAAAACAGGAATTTTTGAGATGTGTGTGGCAGATTTTGATTGATTTCCATTTCAAAGATACACAGTCCTTATGTAATTCTAATTTCCTTGAAATCTGGTCAGCCCCTCAACAAACATAATAAGGCAAGCTATATCTGATTCAAGAATTTCAGATGGTCTAGTAGCTGTCAGGAAGCCTGATTTCCAATGCCCTTTCAAAGAAGTTCATTCTATATAACTGTCATTCTATAACAGTGTTTTTTTTTTCAACATGTAGCAAGTTACATATCTTAACATGTAGAAGTGCATATCATATCTATGGTAATCAGAAATTAAAGGAGAAAGGCGTGAGCTTCATTGTTGTTACATATAACTTTGCATAAAGAGTGTAACAATTTGATAAATTTTGACTCATGCTTATAAGAATTTGGAACAGCCCACTGTTTCTCTATCAATATACTAAAATTAAAGATCCTGTAACACAATTTTTTATGGTTTTATATCATAAATATAATACTCAAATGAAGATTTATCAATATTGTAAGTTCCAAAAAACATTATTTGTAAAGATATTACGGAATTTACATTCCATGTTAATAAAGGGAGGTTAAATTAGAAATTTATTTTCTCTAAAGTCCAAGTTAAATTTTTCAATAAGAAATGAATGCATATATTTTAATGATTACATATACTGTGCATAAATTTTTGCTGTACATATTTTACAAATTCTTCAATCTTTGAAAATTATTTTAGAAGCATAATTATAATATACATATATAAAATTTCATTTAAGTGTGGGAACAACCTTAATTACAACATACAGGATCTTTGAGTCTGACTACATTGAACATCTTTGCAGACTGACTGTTCGACACTAGTTGCATATGTATATCATTATAACAAGAAACACTAAAAGGTATAAATAAATAATCAATCACCTTTGCATCTAAAGCCTTACTGTATGTTGACTCACTCATCTTGGGTACTTTAATGGCTACCGGTACAGATATTATACCGTGCCAGTGTGTCGTTGTCAGCTGGGAAATAATCTCTGCCTCAGATTCACTAAAGTCTAAACCCAGGAATAAACTTAAGCATATTTCTACAGCCAACTTCTTGAAAAATTGATAGACACAAAACGTTTTCCTGAAATAATCAAAATACTGGAGACTGTGATGTCATTACACATTGTCGTCAGGAAGAATAACATAAAAAATGAATCTTTACTTATTTTTTTTTCTCAGTTATGCAACAAGCTGTATATATTTAAACTTATGATGAATTGTTCATTTACAATCAGTAACCTTTAAAAGAAAGAGAATGATTTTGCTTTAAAGATCCTGTATGTTGTAATTAAGGTTGTAACCACACTTAAGTGAATTTTTATAAATGTATATAATAAAATGATGCTTCTAAAACAATTTTCAAACATCAAAGAATATGTAATATATGTACTGCAAATATTTGTCCACACAATATATAATCATTAAAATATATGCATTCATTTCTTATTGAAAAATTTGACTAAAGCTTTATAGAAAATAAATTTCTAATTACCTCCCTTTATTAGTATAAAATGTAAATTTGGTAATTTATTTACAAATAATGCTTTTTAGAACTTACAATATTGATAAATCTTCATTTGAGCATTATATTTAATATAAAACCATTAAAAAATTGAGTTAAGGATCTTTAAACAAATTTTTTTAATAAAAACTTTCTTCAAATTTACTTACCCATCTTCTAAAGTTCCTATAGCCTTTTTCACAACCCTGCAAAATGGTAAACTAGAATTTTATATCAATCATAAGTCAATTAAGCTTCAAAATGGCATTTATAATATACACACTTAATTATTCTCCTGCATATAAAATTAATAGTCAACAAACCATTCATTGTAAAATTGAGTTCACTATAATTTACATAATTTTAATACAGTCAACTATCGTTATCTCGACATCGCTTTTCTCGATATTTCGTTATCTCAATGAAATTTTGAAAGTCCCGACTTTCTTCCTTCTTTATCTATATTGGATATATTTGTTTATCTTGATATTTTTATTTCCATATTTTCAGTATCTCGATGTACAATTTCAGCCCCAACAGTTATTATTACACTATTATCCATTGTTTATCTCGACTAATAGTTTTTGTCTGTTTCCTTCAGACGTGTGAAACCTTCTGACGTGTGAAAAACACAAACTAGACAAGAATTGCTCAAGAGCACGTGTCATAATGATGATTATGTTTGTAACATGTTTAGCTGTTTTTATAAAAGTTAATCTATTTAGCTCGTTGATTGACTTATGTCCAAAATGAGTGATGACGTTCTTTATAAATATTCGAACACTGTATAAATTCATTATGACTTTAAATGTAAATGAAATAGTGAAAGTATAGAAACGCTATCGTTGCAATATTGTTTCACAACATGACACCACCAAATCAATCAGCGATCGAACAACATCAAGAAAGACCCGATAAATAACCCGGGAGGATATCCGGATCAACCTCCCTGAAAACAATGTTTTCACTATATTGGTGTATTACCGAGTAAACCTCACTATGTGTTTTTATCACAGAAACTTGTATTTTCGCTGGTAAACATCCGCTAATGTTACATTGTTAAATATTGACTAGGCCTATGAAAACAAGACATGGGGATATCATAATTTATTTGACATAAGGTATGCACATGTCTTTTGTAAAAATCAGTTTCTGCCTTATTCAAACCCTAATATGTTTACCTCGACATTTCGTTATCTCGATATTTTTTGGACGGTCCCGATGACTTCGAGATAACAAGAGTCGACTGTATCATACCAATACAAGTTACCATTTACAAACATTAACATAGAGAAAGATAGTTAAAATTCAATTTTTCAAAATACACTCAAAGTTGTCTTGTATCAAAATTTAACAAGGAACACAATAGCTCCTTCCTAACATTGACAATAGGCTCTAGAAGTGTATTTAATTTATTCTAAAATAGAATAAATTGCACCAACAGGATGCACAGCCATCAATCTTGCTCAAAAGTGTTTCCTTGAATCAACAAGAGCTGGCTGAACCGGGTCTTACTCCCTAAATAGGTTTTGGACACAGAGCAATAGTTTCTTGTTGATACCTCTTCTAGTTTCAAATTTATGGCCCTGACAAAGTTCACAGTGTAAAAATGAACAAAGGGCAATAACTCCAAAGTTAAGTAAGGCAGAGTTACAATTCTTTTGCACTGCATATCTACTCAATGAGATCTATCTACCTACAAAGTTTCTTGTTGATACCACTTGTAGTGTCACAGTTATGGGCTACTATATGCTCTCACTTTTGGGAGCATAAAAATTAAAACTATAACCTATTTACTTATCTCAATGATATTAAGGCCAATTAAATCACTAATACACAAACTGGTTCAATGATTATTTATTGATAAATGTGTATGTCTTGTTAAAAGAGATAAAAACTTCAAAAGAAATCACCAACCTATCAATAGTAGATTGATATGACTGCACAGCCTCTGATGTAAACAAATGTTTAAGTGTTTCTCTCAAACTTTCAGCACAGTTACCTAAAATAAATAATATATATCTGCATTTTATAAATTCATAAAAATATTTTGCTGTAGGCCTCAAAACCAAGCTTTCTACAGTTTCATTAACCTTTTCAACAATATTGTTGTAAATCTAATTAAATACTGTTCAGAAATGATGATTTTCAAAGGAAAATCCAACGGTAACACTATAAAGGTCATAATTATATGAATTTTAACATGCAAATGAAGTCTATAAAATAGCTCTTGTATGTGCTCAGGTAATCGAAACATCAGCGCAGGGTGCTCACTAGCCAGGAAATCCTGAGGGTCATTTTGACTAAGTTTACCGATAACAAGGCAAAATCCCCATGATTTAAACAAAATTTGACCCTCCAGTTAAAATCCTGAGGGTCAAATCAGGCCTTTTGGAAATTTGAAGGGTCAAAGAGTCTTTTCAAGGGTCAAACGGACACAGCTACAAACTTTAAAAAAAATTAAAACTAGTTATCTGGAACAGGACAATGGTGGTATTTTCCCAACTAACTTGGGTATGCAAGCCCATTGTTGCCTTAATTCCTTCATGGTGAACTTGGCCTTTCATTTACAAAATAGTAATCATGTACATTTATAAAGTCATGTTTGTTGATTTTCTGTCAGTGTTTGGATGACACAAAGGTGGAGTTTCTCATTTTTGAAAAGTGGAGGTAATGAAATGACTAGATAAATTTGGTCAGTCATTAATTTTTATTTACATATTTTTACAGTGAAAAGTGAAATCAATACTATTTACCATCTGAAAAAATGATATTTTCACCATATATCTCTCCCATAAATTGTTTGTAGCCAAGTTCCATTTCATGAGCATGGTCTGAAAAAATACACATAAAAATTTATTTTCAAAACAAGAAGAACTATGTTAAGCATGTGATTCTGTTGAACTGTTGAAATGAAAATTGATACTTGATTTTACACATACCAGAAAGGGACTATACTAAGGTCTTTTGACATCAAGGAATTTCAAAGCTTTTTTATTTTTTAAAGATTTTTATATCATTTGATGTAGGTCTATTCCATTAACTTGTGTTCAAATTTTCTAAAATATAAATTACCTTTCAAAACTTCCTGTAGTATTGCATTTGATCCAATGAATATTGTTGGCTTATTCAGAAATCTTGACAGGAAAACTCTGGATTTTGTATTTTCCATGTGTTTATTCTGAAATTTGATTGGATCCTTATAAAAGTCATATGACCTGTCTCCAACCAATGGAAAGCCAGCAGACCCTGGAACCTTTGCCATTGTCAGAAGTTGATTACCCGAACATGGAGTCTTCCATAAATCAATCTGAAGTAAAAAAAAGTAAAAAATAAAATAAAAATAAAAGAATAAAATAAAGCATGAAACAACAATCTGTAGGTGTCAAAGATGTATATATCTTATAACAAGCTTATATTCATTTACTTTGATTTCAAGATTATGCAAAACTAAGCAGTGGCAAGTATATTGCTTCAGAAGCATTTCTGAGGCATCTTAAAGTTGCATATTTTGGTTTTGCTTTATTTGCTATTGATTTGAATGAACTCAATCTGTTCATGGACAGTGTTGAGTGATACATACATGTACTATAAGCTATGGCCTTAAGCTGATTAAATATCAAGACACTGAATTAGCAAATCATCATTTTAGGCAAATCAATGGTAAAATTTAGATGCACTCATTTAGTACAAGGTGACATTTTATGAAAAGTGGAGACAAATATGGTAAAAGGTGCATTAATATTATAATAATACGACTTATAATGATTTATGAATTATTGTATAACTCAGATATTTGTAGGTACTGTATCAGAGGTAACTAATGAACAGATTATTATATTTATTTATTATATGCTTTTTGGTGGTTTATAGAAATATATCAGTGATATAAAACTGACAATTTCACTGTTTTAAACAGTGGAATTATCAATTTGATAATTTGACTGTTTTAAATTTAAGCCCCTTTTGTTGTTACAGTGAAATATCAGCATGCTCAGTACTGGAAACCAACTAAATGATGTGACTTCTTAAATGACGCCAGGTTGTATAATTATAATATGGCATGCTTTTCATTAAGTATAAATGGTTAAATGTCTTTTTAAAACGATTCTTTGCATACAATAAAAAGAAAATTGTTTAGTTTAGTGTAAGATTGAAATATATTTCAACTTGTGAACACCAAAAGTTCATATTTCACTTGTGGCTGCACCACTTGTGAAATATAGTTATCAATTTATATATTTCAAAATAATATTAATAAGAAAAAAATTAATCTTATTAGCAGATTACTACACAACCTGTACAAGATACTGTACAAGATGCTTTATTTTAAGTTAGTTTACAAATTTAAGAAACTACACAATCATGACAACATCATGTCATGAATATCAGTTTATATTTCTGAAAATTTTATGTAATAAATGTTTCATTTTTCTACTACATGAATTCATTGTATAGTAATTCCTTTGATATCTGGGACTTGTAATATAACCGGCTATATCCTGGATTAGACCCCGGGGTCTAAACCAGGAGTATATATAAGGTTCATTCCGTTTTCTATAGTGTATTTTATATACAAGTTTTACTCCTGAAATATACATAGGGGTATTATTGGGGTCTCACTAAAAAGCGTCCCGAAGGATTTTAGCGTCCCGAAGCGTCCTGAAGCGTCCCGAAGCATTTTTGTTAATTTAAACAGCCAGAAGGGTTATATTTATTGTAAATGAGCTGTATTATTATGTACTGAGGTATTTATGGTAGAAAAAAATATTCTTACGTATCATTTTTTCTATTTATATAAAAAAAAACCTAACATACCTTCGACTCCAGTTCACTTGCTCAAAAACCACCGTATACCGACAAAGCGTCCGGAAGGTTTAATGTTTATCTAAACCAAAATTATTTTGAAATACTTCGTAATTTGAGTTAATGAAATAGTTATGTAAGTAAAAATAGCGAGAAAAAATGTTTTCCATACATAAAATTATCTTTATAGCGCCCGAAATCGTACATCTATCCACGCATAGTTCAAGTCGCGTACTGACTAACATAGCGTCCCGAAACGTATTCATGGTTTTTATTTTTATCTTAGCAAAGATAAATCGTAATTGAGTTCTTTTATGATATGTGTAAGTGACATTAAAAAGGAAATAAACATTTCATCCACAAAATATTATTTTACAGCGCGAAAACTGACGTTTCCCATGTTGCGCTAACAAAGCGTCCCGAAGAATTTAGCGTCCCGAAATGTCATGAAGCGTCCCGAAGCATTATTGTTAATTTAAACAGTCAGAAGGGTTATATTTATTGTAAATAATGTATATTATTATGTATTGAGGTATTTGTGGTAGAAAAAAATAATCTTACTTATCATTTTTTCTATTTATATAAAAAAACCTAATATACCTTCGACTCCAGTTCACTTGCTCAAAAACCACCGTATACCGACAAAGCGTCCGGAAGGTTTAATGTTTATCGAAACCAAAATTGTTTTGAAATACTTCGTAATTTTAGTTAATGAAATAGTTATGTAAGTAAAAATAATAAGAAAAATGTTTTCCATACATAAAATTATCTTTATAGCGCCCGAAATCGTATGTCTATCCACGCATAGTTCAAGTTGCAAACTGACTAACATAGCGTCCCGAAACGTATTCATGGTTTTTATTTTTATCTAAGCAAAGATAAATCGTAATTAAGTTCTTTACGATATGTGTAAGTGACATAAAGAAGGAAATAAACATTTCATCCACAAAATATTATTATACAGCGCGAAAACTGACGTTTCCGATGTTGCGTTAACAAAGCGTCCCGAAGAAATTTAGCGTCCCGAAATGTCATGAAGCGTCCCGAAGCATTAATTTTAATTTAAACAGTCAGAAGGGTTATATTTATTGTAAATAATGTATATTATTATGTATTGAGGTATTTGTGGTAGAAAAAAATAATCTTTATTATCATTTTTTTTCTATTTATATAAAAAACTAACATACCTTCGACTCCAGTTCACTTGCTCAAAAACCACCGTATACCGACAAAGCGTCCGGAAGGTTTAATGTTTATCTAAACCAAAATTATTTTGAAATACTTCGTAATTTTAGTTAATGAAATAGTAATATAAGTAACAATAGCGAGAAAAAAATGTTTTCCATACATAAAATTATCTTTATAGCGCCCGAAATCGTACATCTATCCACGCATAGTTCAAGTGAAGTCCCTTTAAGGAAATTCTGACTATCTTCATTATCTTCGGTGTCCATTGTATATCACCTTGCTTATCTTCTCCTTGGAAGTAGATGCTAATCTGTTCATCGGGGTGATATCTGATTCTTTAACACATTTTTTTGAATTGCGCAATAGTGCCTTTTTTCCACATTCAGCTTTTTATCGTCGTGTATTTTAATGATTTTTTATTTAACGATTAGCGTCTGCTTCTTAGCTTTAACGATATAAGCATGCATATAGTATATATAGCAGTAATTACGTAAGTCTCTTTATTCGTTGAATTGTTACTAAAGTCTTTTATAACGCAACATATGAGTGGCAATGTACTTTTTAAATCATGTTATATGTGTTCTATGTATATTGTTGTATATTGTTGGGAAAGTCCATTAAAAGGGTAATTCTGCATATTATCCGAAAACGAAAGTGTCAACAACTAGATAAGAGCCGCGCCATGACAAAACCAACATAATGGGTTTGCGACCAGCATGGATCCAGACCAGCCTGCGCATCCACACACATGCTGTGCGCTATCAGATTATCTACTTGTTATAGGGTTTGTAAGCGAACAGCATGGATCCTGATCAGACTGCGCGGATGCCCAGGCTGGTCTGGACCCATGCTGGTCGCAAACGCATTACGTTGGTTTTGTCGTGACGCGACTCATATAGTTTAATTCTAACATCGTGATAGCTCAGGTGGTAAATCAACGTCACTGTTACTTTAAATGATTTGAACAAATAGGTTCGAAACCTAGCACGGCTTGTTATTATGATGTTGTTGTTAATGTGTTTCTCCCTTTTTATTTACTGTGTCTTTTGTTTGAATACATTGTCAAATCTATGAATGACATTCCAATAATACATTTCACATCATTCTAGGAATGACATTCTTTATAGTTGTAGATAACTGTTATGCACGACCTTCACGTGCAAATTTAAATGTCGAACTATACATACATACGCATGCATGCATACATACGCATGCATGCATCACATCATTCTAGGAATGACATTCTTTATAGTTGTAGATGTTATTGTCATGCAATGCTTGCATATATATGTATATACCCGTCCCTAGATTTGCCACTACTTGCCAGCTATTTCCACTGAAAAGGGTGGCATTAAGTGTAAAAAAGGTGGCATTAACTGGAAAATGACAAAATTCCACTCTTTTTCCACTGTAGTGGCAAAATTGCCACCAAATGCCACTATCCTTTGGTGGCATTTAGGTGGCATTGAGTGGAAATTTGAACATAGACTTTTTTTATGGTGGCAAAAGGGTGGAAATTGGTGAAAAATGAAACTTAGTTTATTTTGAAGGTGGAAAATGAGTGGCTTTTAGTGGAAAAGTGAAACTCTAACTATTTTCTGGGTGGCAAAATAGTGGAAAAAAACTTAGAAAATTTTGTGAATAACTTTTAGTCGAAAAGGGAAACTCTTAACTATTTTCTGGGTTGTATAAAAATTGGTGGAAAAAACTGAGAAATCTAATAATTGTGCATTGCAGGGTTTAAGATTTATTTAAGTCAAAGCTCCAAACTGAAATAAATCTGTTTATAGTTTGTACTCTACCAAAGCATCAAGTGAACTTTTTATCAAAAATATAATTAATTGAAGTTGAACAGTTAGAAAATTTTATCAGAAACTCATATTTCTTAAACATACTAGAATGCCATGAACACAATTCTGATACAAAGTCACTGCCTCACAGTAACGGTATGATAATTCCAGCTGTAAAGTAGCAGGAAAAGACACAGAAATTGGACGTAAAATCACTTTTCCAGGCGTTAAACACATATAATTATGATCAGGAAAAATTAGAAAAGTATGGGGTTACTTAACTTCCCATTTTTTATGGCAGTACTTTTCTTTAGGGATGTAAAATTTGACTTTCAAGTCAAAATGTTTATGTTCCATTCTATGCTTGTAAAATAAAATTACGGCTTTTAAAGTGTACTTTGTTCTTTAGTTATAATCTGTACATTAAATAGTTGAAATGTTCTTCTATGCCCAGAAAATGCATATCTTTGCATAAAGTTTGTTGCTTCTTCTATGATATTTAATGACAATCTTGAATAAAGTTTGACTTTTGTCTTTTCTTCTAATTGACATAATAAATTGTCTCTTCATAATTACTTTAAACTGATATCTGGTGAGTACTAACACTTTTCATGTAATGCTAACAATAATTAAAGTGTAAAATGCAAAGGGCAATAACTCCAAAAGTATGCAAAGAGTTATGGTTCTTAAACACAGCACATTACTCAAAAAGATCTATATCTGTGAAGTTTTTAATTAATATCTCCAGTACTTTTTAAGCTTAATGATCAAGACAAAAATTAAGCATAGAGAAGTAAAAAATGGCAATAAACCCCAAATCATGCAATAAAAAGTTATGGTTCCTTGGCATTGTAACTTCTCATAAATGAGATTTAGTTATATGTGGAGTTTAAAATTATTGTCTCTAACATCTTTTGTGCTATGCTTTCAGAGGCTTTAAATCTATTGTAAAAATTAATGTGTGAAAAGTAAATAAGTCATAATGTCTGATAAATTTCTTACAATCAGGATAAGTAACTACTAGCTAGTAAATACTGCATCCTCTAAGATTTAACAACACAGCATACATCTCAGATCTGATAAAACTATTGCCCTCTTATCTAGTAATCTATGAATGGGGGTTAATAGTTTACTCATGCTGACCAGAATGTTCCATTTAATTATTTTGGGAGAGGCAACATTATACATGTTTTTATGTAGAATTTGTCTTAAAATAGCATGCTAAATTATCTTTCAAAAGCTTATTTCTACTCAATCTATTTAGGTATTAGATATAGTTATACATTCAAATGAATGTAAAAAATAAAATGATGGGTGCTATGGTTTTTGGAAAATCCCTCACAATTTAAAATTATAATGGACTGTCCATGCAGTTACACCGTTGTAAAGTTTGAATTCAAAGGAATTGAGGTCAGCTAAAGCTTGCAAACACAAAGGAAATTATTGATATTGTAGCAATTTTGGAGATATTTTGTTTAAAATGTAAGGGTGCATATTTTTGATTTCTCAAAGAAAACATTTAAAGTCTTATTAGTGTTGTAAATAGAAATGAGAAGTTTTAACTGAAGTGTGAATGTGTAGACAAGAAGATAAACAGCAGAATCATTCCCAGTCAAAGTTTCAGGTAAACAACTTTTACATACAATAATGATTGTTATTTATGCAGAAACTGTTTAGTTTTTTGACAGTAAAAATATGAAGTGGTATTGTATAAAATTGTGTTTTATATTTGTTTTGTTTGTAACTTGACTAAAAAGAAAGCTGCATGTACAATGTACATATAAAGAATGTAGGAATATAAAGAATGTAGGAAGATCTTAATCATTTCTTAAATACAATATGTTAGAAATTTTAAGTTTGAGAAAAAAATTATAGAAATTGATCAGTAAGTACAATATCATTATGTACAATATTACATCAATCAAACTATAGATAACCTGAGGTACCTATTACTACAACTTTCATGCTATAAACAATTTTCCTTGTGTGTCACATGTGGAGCAGATTAACAGTAACTGATTTATTAGTAAGTTTCATTCCTTCATTGTTGTAATTCAGCTTTCATGGTGCAGTAGATAATTATATAACCATAACTAGACAGTCTAGAGTAACATGCTATTAGGAGAATGACAGTTCATAACAGAAACAGCATTAAATAAGAATTATTATTTTGCAGACACAAAGCAATGAGGAGCAGCCTGGAGCAACACATTTGATCTTCAGTGGCTTTACAAAGGTATCTTGTTAATTCAAAGTTATTTTATAATTAATAGGAAAGAAGTGTCACAGTACCCAATAAGACACTTTTCAGTTCTTGATAAATATAGCTATTAGTCACTATTTACAAACCTACTTTAATTCAAACTCTTTATGACACTTTAATTTGCATTTACATTTTGTTTTACAAATTTTAGAGTTTTTGTACATTTTAGCTTGAAAATTTTATCAAATATTTATCCTGAGCGTTAAGAACTGAAACTGGAAGATTATTAATTGCTCAACCTGCACTGGTGTTGATGTGTTGTATTTCTTTATTTCTTTCTTATTTTAAAATTTTAGAGTTGTATACATATACCAAGGTCTTATAAAAGTGTTTCATTTTCTGTCTTTACATATTAGATATTGATAATCATTTTCTGTCTTTACTTTATGGTAATTATATTTTAGGACCAAGTGATGGCAGAACTGAAGCCATATGCCTCAAAAGAGAAAGGTACAGCAAAGCTCTTCAGAATGCTATTCAATATAGAAGAGATTAAAGGCCGCTCATTGTTTGGTATGAGGAAAGGGAACAGAGAGTCTGACGCCAGACCTTCTTGTGCAGACAAGGCAAAACTTAAGTTCTTGGAAGGTAACTAATGAACTGAATGAAAATATCATTTTTGATTCTGCGTATATTTTCTGCCTTGGAGTAAATAAGAAAAGTCTGATTCTTCCACGTCTGCAGTGCTGTTTTTTAAAGTGTTTTAATCATATCTATGCACTCAAATTGAATATAGAAATATCCAATAGTCATATAAAAATGTAAGCTTATGTTTTTAATTATTGTATTAATCATTCATAATTTTTTTTGTTTTAGATTGTGCGCTCGAAAAGTTGCCGACAACCTAAAGGACTGAACTCAAACCGTCCAGGAATAGCAAGATAAACTGAAGAAAATAAAAGGACTAATGTTTTGCTATTTTTTGAGACAATATATAATTTCATATGGAAACATTAAAAAGGATTATTTTTAAAATTTGTTTGTTTCCAATTCAGGGTACAGGGTGACTTTCAAGCAGTTTCCAGCTATTGCCACCCACAAGGTGGAAAATTTCTGAAAGGGTGAAAATAGGTGGCATTTAGTGGAAACTGAATTTGCCACTATCTGGTGGCAAAATGGTGGAAAAGTGTCTAAATACTCCACCAATTTTCCACCCTTATGGTGGCAAAAGGTGGAAATAAGTGGCATTTGGTGGAAAATAAGTTTGCCACTCAATGGTGGCATAATGGTGGAAATTTGTCTAAATACTCCACCAATTTTCCACCATTTATATGGTGGCAATAAGTGGAAACAAGTGGCATCTAGTGGAAAATGAGTTTGCCACCCTAAGGTGGCATAATGGTGGCATTTTGGTGAGTTTGTCTAAATACTCCACCAATTTTCCACTCATTGGTGGCATTTAGTGTAAAAAAGGTGGAATTAACTGGAAAATTATATAACATCAGTCCTGCTCAAATTTTTCACCATTTTCATGATTTGGGTGGCGTTTTGGTGGCGTTTTGGTGGCATTATTGGTGGAAAATTGTCTAAATACTCCACCATTGAAAAGGGTGGCATTTTAGTGGCAAATCTAGGGACGGGTATGTTTATGTTGTTTATATGCTATAAACATTGTATAATGTTTCAGGCAATAAAATTTGAAATTGGAAAAAAAAAAAATTTTATATTCTAATGTATATAATTGAACGAATTAACAAGAGACTATCTAAGGAGTAGGTATGCTATTTTTCACACTTACGGCTGTATACAAATCGTGATTGATATATAATTACTTCAGGCACTATTTATGCAGGTAGGTGTTACATTGTGTTAACAGTTTACTTCATTCAAACATTAAAAGATGACATTTTCAGGTCAGTTTAGATATTTATAAACTACTAGTTATTGCGTACTGATTACAGTCTGACTTACAATGGCTAAA